GCTGGAGGAGGGGCAGAAGGAGAGAATCTTCACACAGACTCCCTGCTGAGTGCAGAGCCCTACACAGGGCTCAATCCTGGGACCCTGAGAATATGACCTGAGCCAAAATCAACAGTCAGACACTTAATCAACTGAGCCATTCAGGAGCCCCCGAAGTAAACTTCTAATTTCTTTTCTAAAACCTTCAATGCTCCAGTCTTCTCCCAAAATGCTGCCCCTAAGAACCCCAGCTGCCAACAGGATGAAGAGTCCAATGTACAAATTCATTGCATTGCACAGAATCCATTTATAAGCTGCCCTTCCAATCCTCACCAATGTATTATTTTGACGATATTCTTTCTCTGCTCCACATACCTCATTCTCCAAGTACTTCAAATTCCTTGCCAAGCTGAAAACACCATTCTTTTACACATTTATTTTTGTGATTGCAGTTCCTTTTCCCTGGACTACCTGTAGTGTGTCTCAAAAAATTCTTAGATATCCTTTGTGACCTAACTCAGATGTCACATTCTTTAGTTAGCTTCATCCTTCTCTATAGCCTTGTAGTAAGATATACACACCTCTATGAAAGCACACATTGACAGACTCTGCCCTTCCGGGCCCGTAGAAACTGTCCTTCCACACTGCCCCCTCCCATGCTCTAACCTACTGAACTATTGTGGTTAACTTATGTTAAACCTCTGTACCTTGGCCCATTTTCTTTCCTCTTCCAGAAGCCCCTTCCCTCCCCGCCTCCCCTGCTTATTTTCCCTGTGCCATCAACCTAGCAAACTCCCGTAGGTTTCTCAGACCTCTGTTTAGAGATGACCACATCTCAGAAACATCTATAGGTCTACCAAGACTAGGTTTTCATTATCTGCCCCATGTGTTCCCAGAGCACCCTTCGATGATCCTGAATATTGGCCTCTAACACCATATGGAAAATAGTCTGTGGAGGGACATTCTGTGAGAGGCTAGGCTTTATAGAACTGTTGTTGGTCTCTGTAACTCCAGCACCTAGAAAGTCCCTGGTACACGGAAGATGCTCAATGCATATTTGTTGAGTAAATGTACTGATTATCTCCTTTAGAAATAATTTCAGGGACACCTGGGTGGCTCAGTCGGTTAAGCGTCTGCCTTCGGCTCAGGGCATGATCCTGGGGTCCTGGGATCAAGTCCCGCACTGGGCTCCCTGCTCATTGGGGAGCCTGCTTCTCCCTCTCCCTCTCCCTCTGCCTGCCGCTCCCCCTTGCTTGTGCTCTCTCTGATAAATAAATAAATAAATAAATAAATAAATAATCTTAAAAAAATAATTTCAGTCTGGGAGTTACATGGTAAATGAATTATAACAAAAAAAATCTGTTAAAAAAAAAAATCTGAGTTACCAATCTATGTTTTTTCACTGTAGCTTCACATCCCAGTTGCTGGACAAAGATCTTACGTGCTTGCATCCTTATTATGGAGCCTGGTACACATAAGACGCTCCATTATATTTGCTGAGATTTCATAGAAGTGAAGTATTATGCCAGATTCTAAGCCATTGAACACTTTCTACAAACGATCAATTTATATGATGCTCCTCAGTAGGTAAATTGATAGTGATATCATAAATCACAGAGCTGGAAAATTCATTTATTTCAACATCCACATTTTATAAATTAAAAAAATTGGGCTCAGTAAAAGAAGTAAATTACACATGATCATGCAAATAGGATCCCAAAAGAATACGTCCTCCCAAATCAATATCATTAAAGGTGTCCAACTTAGAAAGATTTATGTTATACCTGAAGCCAGATTTAGAGTTATGAGTATGGACTGTGCAAGCACCAAATAGTAAAAATAAAAGTAGGAAATAAATTTGGAAATAAATAAATCACTCTCTCTCACACACACACACACACACACACACACACACACATATATCTATATGATTAAACAGGTGTTGCTAATCATGAAAAGAGGAATAAATAAACACTTGGCTTGACATGAGTCATTATTTGATGGGCTATTTCAGGACAGAATTGATATTTCTAAATGGTTGATACCACGAGAGGCTATACCAAAGAACCACAGAAGTGGAAAATAATCACTAATGATTTCTTTTATGGAACAATTCCATAGACTATGACGAGTTCCCACTTAAGGATTCATAGTATTGGAAATTTCCACTTGGACAATTTTAAGCTTTTAAAAACCCTCCAAAACTGACACCTAGGAGTAAGTATGTGACTCAACTAAATATCACTAGCACTGTATGATATTAGAAAATTTACTAGGGAAAATCATTCCGTATCTGTTTTTTCAGCATACTCATCTAGAAAAGGCAAAAAACAGGCCATGTGCTCACATATCTCTTCAGAATGCAAGAACTTCGATAGAGTACCCCAAAGCACAAGCTTATGAGGTATGGTAAAGAATACCCAAATTCCTTGCTCCTCAGAGATAAAACTCAGCATATACAGTCTGAAGCCTAAAATCCCAACTATCTATTTCCTATCATAGGACTGAAGGCCCATCCAGGCTCACTCTAGTTCCCTTAAAAGATCCAAGCTCCTTCCTAAGCATGCATTGTTCTGCAAATGATCATTCTCAATTTGATACCAAGGTGTCATTTCAGGAATCAGCTCCTCTGAGAAGCACTACCGGACCCTCCCGGTAAACATCGCTCCAGATAACTCCCCATCTACACCTTTTATCCTATATGACTATCTGAATTTGTTTACTGGCTTATTTTTTTTTATGACAGTTACTGACTCACTAAATATTTATTGTGATCATCTTGTACAAAATACTCTTGCTTTTTTTTTTTTTTTAAAGATTTTATTTATTTATTCATGAGAGACAGAGAGAAACAGAGGGAGAAGCAGGCTCCCAAGGAGCGGGAAGCCCGATGCGGGACTCGATCCCAGGACCCTGGGATCATGACCTGAGCCGAAGGCAGACGCTTAACCATCTGAGCCACCCAGGCGCCCAATACTCTTGCTTTTTATATCTTGGTATTCACTGCTCCAAGCACCATGATTGTACACACAAGCTAAGCAGATAATACATGTTTATGGAATAAATGTTTAAATAAATGAAAATAAAATGGCTTACTAGGTAGTAGCCAAAAAGAGTGAAGAAGAAGCATATTAAATAGGATAGGGTAGGATAGGATAGGATGTTTACTGGCTTATTGTTTATGTCTTTACATTCCCTTAGCTTCTCCTCCAGCATTTATGGTCAGCCAGAGAAAGAAGCTCATCTGCCTTAGTTATCCTTTAATCCTAGTACCCAAAGTTCATACAACATAGTAGGACTCAGGTGTGATGAATGAAGAATGCAACAACCTGAGTTTATAACCTAGATCTGTTACTTACCAGCTGCAAGGTCACTGGTAAATCTTCCAGGCCCTATTTACTTGAATAAAGACCAGGAATCATAAATATATCTGTCTCATACTGCAGAACTCCCTAATATTAGGAGCAAATACCTTATGAACCACAAATATGGTTTTCAGACAATGATAACAGTATCACTCTAGAAGACCTTTTGTATGCCAGGCTCTGTTCTAAAAAGCACTTTACACAGGCACTATGATGCCTTTGACTATATGATGCACTATTAGGTTTTTACCACTAATATAGAAATAATTGGTGCCGGTGAATCTCTAACATGATGATTTCTCAACATACCAATTATAAGATGTGCTTCAATCTCAAAGAAATTAATGGGAAAAAAAAGTACTTCATAGAATAGAATGCAGTTTTATACATTCAGTACTCCTCTAACAATCCTATGAGATAGGTCCGATTGCCATCATTATTTTACAGATGTGGAAACTGAGGCACAGAGAGGTTAAGTTACTTATTCAAGATTACAGGAGTTTTAATGATAACAAGGAAAGATGAACAGGGACTCAAAAAGCTCTATAGCTTCAACTCTCCATAAAGTATCAAGAGTTAGGTTCACTTCTCTAAATGATACAACTGAACCAGGAAATTCTCCTCCCTGAAGTGAATGGTACTCTGACTTCTAATAATGCTCATGGCAAAGTATTATGAAAATAACAGTAGAAAGAGAGCAGTTTTAGATACTGAACTTCCAGTTTTCTCAATCTGCATCCTCTTTGCAATTATATAACTCAGTTTTTACCAGACCAACTTGCACTCATTTAGATTTTGCTTTTAACTTTTCTCAATCCTTTCATTTATCTGTTTTCTGTATTCATAAAGACACTGAAAGCGATTCTGGAAATGATCATCTATTTGTGTTTAGATCTACTTTCTGCCCTTCTCCACTCCCCATTCTCCTTGGTCTGAGCTTACTAGGCATTAAATAAATGTTGCTAACTAAAAGCAAAAATGAGATCTGATTTGGCATCATATCCCATGGCATGAAATTAAAACAACAACAACAACAAACCCACAACTCAAGCATATATTATCGTTAGCTTCCCAAATATGATTAGTGGCAATCTTGGTGTAAGTTACATAAGCAGAGAGCATAGCTTTTCGAGCCCAAGCAGAAAAATCCAGGGATGTAGTATGTATGGTGGTGGGGGGGAGAGAGCTGAAACACATACATGACTTTCAGAGATGTGACTATGATGTGACCCAAACCCGATTATTGAATAGCTAATAAAGCTAATATAGGAAATAGGACACAGATTTAAAAGAGCACAGTCACCATCAATGTTCAATTCTAAAACAACATTCTTATACATACAAAACACCTCAAACACAGATAAGTTGTTTGGGGTGTCCTGATCCTCCATATGAAAGTCAAGACATGTGATATTCCAAACCTCCCGTGAAAGTCTAACATGCTTACTATTAGGAAAAGCAATCAAGACATAAATCCCTTATAATCATGTAAGGAAAGACTGAAAAGAAACACAATTCTATCAGCTTTTAATTGTTCATCAGAGATCTTGGCTACTTGAGAAATTACTGAGAAAAAACCTTATTAATCCATTTGCAATCATATGAAAATTTCTACTAACTACTCCATAGCTGTTCTCTCTTTCCGGACCCGGCTGAGCAGGAGGCGCCATCACGGGAGTCGACATCCGCCACAACAAGGACCGAAAGGTTCAGCGCAAGGAGCCCAAGAGCCAGGACATCTACCTGAGACTGTTGGTCAAGCTGTACAAGTCTCTGGCCAGACGAACCAACTCTACCTTCAACCAAGTCGTGTTGAAGAGGTTGTTCATGAGTCGCACCAACCGGCCACCTCTGTCCCTTTCCCGGATGATCCGGAAGATGAAGCTGCCTGGCCGGGAGAACAAAACAGCTGTGGCTGTAGGGACCATAACCGATGGTGCGTGTCCAGGAGGTGCCCAAACTGAGGTGTGCGCACTGTGTGTGAGCAGCCGTGCCCAGAGCCGCATCCTCAAGGCTGGAGGCAAGATCCTCACCTTCGACCAGTTGGCCCAAGACTCCCCCAAGGGCTGTGGCACCGTCTTGCTCTTTGGTCCATGCAAGGGCCGAGAGGTGTACAGGCACTTCGGCAAGGCCCCGGGAACCCCGCACAGCCACACCAAACCCTGCGTGAGATCCAAGGGCCGGAAGTTCGAGCACGCCAGAGGCCGCAGGGCCAGCCGAGGCTACAAAAACTAACCCCAGATCCTGCCTTGTTATTAAAGATTTTGAATGCTGGAAAAAAAAAAAAAAAAAAAAGCTTCCTTCCTCACATACAGGGTAAGAACTGTTCCAAAATTGCTTTGTTTCTAAATCCTGCTTGTCAGTATATAATCCCCCACCCACACCACCTCTTAGTAGCAGGTAGACTTGCGTAGAAATGACTTGCATATTTCTGGCCAACAGCTTTGCCCACATCTGCAAAAGTTTGGAAGTGTGTGAGTAAAGGAAGATCCATAGATTTTCCAATAATACATGTTAATAAAAATAACCTTGACGCATAGTAAAAGTCCCTTCTGAGTCATCAAATATTGAATGCTTTCAGTTATTTTAATATGAAATGTGTTTCATCCTATTTGGTTCTTCAAATTCTTTCTCCACAATGCATGAGACACAGTATGTACTTGACCACGTATTTATGAACAAACAAAAATCGTGTTCAGGGTTTTAAGAAAACTATCAGAAATACTAGCTTTGGATGGACATAAATAGAATTAAAACCTTTTAAAAGCCCTAATAATATCCCACAATTGCTTTCTAATGGGCTCATTGCTGTATTCATTCTGTTTACCAGAAGTTTGTAAAGCATGATGCATGTGTGTATAATGCTAATTCATCCCTTGTAAGGGATGTTGGCATTTGAAGTGATGCTTACTTGGACAGGAGCTTACTTGCCCTCTAGGCATAGGTGTGTTTGTGTATGAAGGGGCATCAGTGAGGAACCTGACATTTCCTGGGTGGTACAAGCAATGTGGAAGTGTCAAAGGAGCCCGTTTCTCCTGCAAGGATTTTACCATATGAGCTCTGACAAAATCTCTTTGGCTGTTTTACAATCTGTAAAAAAGGCAAGTACAAAAAGTTGTTCTTATATACCTTAAAGAGTCATTAAGATGTGAACATTACTTGAAATACAGATCTTTACTAATGACAGTAATTTCCTTCATTAATTGTCTCTTATGGGAAATTTTCCATGGTACGTGCTAACTAAATTTCACTCAGACTACACATCAGAAAGGATTCCTCTGAATGTCTGGAGCAGCCAAAATGATGATTTCACAAAATCATTTAAAAGCTGTCACAGTAGGTACCTCTTACTGCAGATAAGGGAATGCGGTTGTGATACGAAACGGACACTGGAGACAAGCCCATGCAAGCGTTCGTGTAAATCTGAACATTAGGTGTAATCAGATGGTCCACACTGTCTTTCAGTCAACACAAACCAGGTGAGAGTCCTATCCAACAGTAGAGTGGATTTGTTATTCTTCTGAAACTACAGTGAAAACTAAATACTGGGGGAACATGGATCTAGAACCAAGGAAAAGGCAGTAGGAAAATGTGAGGAACATGTCTCTACATTACAGAATTTTTTAACTTGGAAACATCGGGGGAGAAATCCCATCTAAGATATTCAGTTCACCCTGACTTCCTAATCCCTCCTTCCTTCCAACTCCCCTGACCGTGCATGTCCACTCAGCAATCCCCACCACCCAGTGACATTCCAGACCTCCCCCCTCCACATATCGTCACACTAGCTCAGAATATGTTCTTTTAGTCACTTGCCTTTAGCCAGCTGCACTCTCTTTGCCTTTATAAAACATCCACTCATTCCACCTTTACCTTGTCCCTAAAGCCCTGTTTGGTCCCCCACCCAGCCCTATACCAAGCTGGAGGCTAGACCTACAAATTACTACCTTGAATGCCGCTGTCATTAAATGCAGGGGAGACGTTCATTCTCTGCTCTGGAGTTTTCCATGGGGAGGGACCTTCCATGGAGAAACATTCATAACATGTCTCTGCCTCACACATTCTTCTCCTGATGAAAAGCTTACTGAGGAGTCAGTCCAGTGACTTAGCAGACTGCCGACTTTGAGGACAGCAACAGGGCATGTATGGTTCGGCCCCTTCCAAGTTCCACTCAGAACAGCTGCCTGCAAGAGCATGCTTTCCTCTGCTTTTTCAGACTCCATATTGTTTGGGGGTGGGGCAGGCCCACCTCAAGAGAAGCCTGCAGCGGACCTGTGCTGACCATTCTCAGGAGGGCAAATCTGTCTGTTCAGAGGTAAGACAGTTATTTCTCTTGACCTAAAGCTAATGAAGTCAGCCAAGGTGGTTTTATCAGTCCCCACACTGACAGTTTGGTTTCCATCTATCTGCCTCCTCTCTTTCTCATTGGCTTCTGAGCAAGGATAGAAAGGAGGGACTCTGTTTATTGTGTCCCGAGAATGCTCACCTAGCCTTTCAGCTGACCTTTATCTCGAAGTCACTCACTATCTTGTTTGTTTGTTTGTTTGTTTGTTTGTTTGTTTGTTTTGGGTAGCTCTGGGGTTGTACCTATTCTTGCAAAAGCCAAGACACAGTACAGACCTGATCATCAAATTTCCAGGGGGCTTCAGTGTGGTACCACCATACCTTTGCATGAACCCATTCAGTGCATATCCGAAAGGGTCCATCTACACTTCCTTGGCTTCACACACTCTCAGGACCTCTCCTGCACATCTAACTTTCCTTCCTTCTTTTGAGAAGAGCAAGGTTATGTAGCATACATTTTCTCCTATTCAGTAACCTGTTTCTGTTAATGGACTCTTCTCTGTGCAGGAACAGAGGAAGAGATGCCCCATCCCTGTGTTATGCAAATCTTCCCATTTGTGTTCTTGATCCCATCGCTCCCACCCCATTCCCTTGTTCACGTCCTTCTCCACACTCACTAGTATCTTCCATGGCTCCCACTCCACATGAGCCTTCTCTTCTGCATCTGAACACAGGTCTCACTTTGATTTGGGGGTAGTGGGAAGTTAGCTTTAATTCTCTGAAGATACCTTTTTCCTTTTTTACAGCAAATTTCTTGAGAAGATGGAAAGAGTAAAGCCTAGAGATGAGAGCAAAACTCAAAAAAAGTTCCACTGTTGCTTAGAACCACGTCAGAACCAGAATCTACATCTTCAGAGCTTTTGGAGCATGTGGCCTTGAATGCTACCTCCTGAAAACCTTCTGTGTGGCTAACTTAAAAACCCACTGTGATGGAGGAGGACATAGAAGGTTGAGTCTCTACCATATCCACAGTTCTGTTCAAGGTTAAGAGCTTCAAAAAGTTGTTTGTTTTTAAGAAATACATTTCCCACAGCTTTGTAACAGGTAACTGGCCACAACTAATTAGATGAAGAGACTGAACCCAAACCAGCAACATAAGATAGGTTGGAGGAAGAATTCCTTCCCAATTTGTACTGGAGAAGAACCAGCTACAATAATGGACCTTATTGTTTCAAACATGTGAGGGCAAGGCACAGCTGGCTGGCAGCACAGGGAGTAAGGAGTGGAAACAAGAGACACACAGAGTAGCAGGAAGCAGCTGAGACAGGAGACGGCATTAGCGAGGGAACATCATGGTGTCCTGTCCAGAAGAAAGCCACACAGCAACACTGATAGGAGCAGCAACGGGAAGACAGAAAGAAAAACTGAGAGAAGCTAAGCCATAGGAATGGAGACCCCTGTTCAAGGAAACACTGGGGCTTTACTTTGAGGGGATGGCAAAATCAGCTACTGTTGTGTCCTCAGTGATAATCCAGGTTTCCATATGGCTTTGTTGTCTGGCTGATGACACGGTAAAGTCAACTGAGGTAACACTGAGCACGCCTTGTCTTCCTGCAACCTGAAAGAGCCTAATTACAACAGAACCGAGGAACCGTTTCTTTATTTTAAAGGAAGTTGGACAAACATGATTCTGACCACATTGGAATATCATGGTTTAAAAAATAACGAAGCCTTTTTATATAATGAAAAGGAAAATGGAAGGAAGGGGAAAGAGGGAGTTTACTGTGCATGTCTGCTTGCAATCTTGTAACACCAAATAAACCATTCAGGTTAGCTCTCTTCTCTTCCATGGCCCATTTTCAGGTTTTAGTCCCTTTTAATTATGTCTAGTCCAAGGCAGCTCAGAAAGGTGGCAAGAGCAGGAGGCTTGGAAGTAGAATTAACTCTCTGGACCTTTAGATCATATAAGCAGTACAGAAGGTTGAATCATATATTTTTCAAGCCTGATTATGCAAAACACTTGTTTCTTAACAAAGAATAAGATAAAGGTATTTTGCAGTTCATTGCACCATTTGCATTTTTAATTACGGCAGACATCTTTATTGTATTAAATACCTTATTCTAGCTGAGTGAAGAGTGTGGCTGTTTTAAGTGAACAAAAGTGTCACAAGAATACCTTACTCTTCCTCCACGGCGAGCACCTGTATCCAAACCACAGAGCCGTGGAAAACAAACTCCCCAACATTTACTCTCCTGGCCACAAGTACCTATTTAGAGAAGTGTCTGCATTGGTCTGAACAACACATCCCCAAGCAACAAAGTGGAAGCTCAGGTCGATAACATGAGCTACTATGCGGACTCTAACATTTGGGGATGGTGACTGAAACTTACTTATAAACCTCAAAAAAAACAAGCAGTTATGGGGCACCTGGGTGGCTCAGCCTGTTAAGCGTCTGCCTTTGGTTCAGGTCATGATCTCAGGGTCCTGGGATCGAGCCCCACATTGGGCTCCCCCACTCAGCAGGGAGTCTGCTTCTCCCTCTCCCTCTGCCCCACTGCTTGTACTCACTCTCTCAAATAAATAAATGCAGTCTTTAAACAAAACAAAACAAAACAAAAAACCCAAGCAGTTCCAGTTCTGGATGTCTAGTTCTGGATTCCAAAAAACACAAAGACACCCATGCAAGAAGCTCATCTTAATATTTATAATAAAGAAATGCCACCCCTTAATGCCCATCAGTAGAAGCAGCAAATGGTGGTACACTCAAACTATGAAGCAGGGGACAGGTGTTAAAAACAATATGGCATATCCCTGCTTACTGGCATGAAAAGATCTAGAAGCAAAGAACAAACTGGAGATACTATCATAACATTTATTTTTAAAATAAATGTTAGCTACAGAGTCATACCCATAGCCATAGCCATGTGTATTTATTTATTTTTTTTAAAAGATTTATTTATTTATT